TAGTATATCCCAAAATCGCATTGCCATGTTTACAGATTCACTTGAAAGATTCAAACAAAATCAGCGCCTAAACAATTTCCGCACACACCTTCTTGAGCCTGTATGGGCTACTGAAGAAGACCTCGCGTGTTGTACGTTACTCAATTTTTTGACTGCGACGCGAAACCGAATGTGTAGATGTCCGCATCCGCGTGACTGCACTGTACAGTCGTTAGAAGCTAGTCGTTAAACTATGACTCGATGTTGCATTACATTGGTGAAACCATCGCAAAACCTAGCTAGATGACTAGCTCAAAGCGAAGCTAGACATGTATGTGATGCACAAGGCATCTGTAGCTGTACTCGCCTCCGACTTCTGTCCGCTCACACACCAACATCCTGTTCTACAAAATCCTGTTCTAGCTATTCATCAAGATCCCAAGACCCTTAAGCTAGTCATAGTGGGTAGTCCAAGGTGCATCTTCGAGATCGCAGCATACCGACGTGCGAACCCCCAGGGCCGGATTGTCATGGCACCCATCTTCGTTGAGACCGTGGTATTCTGCATGTGGGCGTGCATGATGATTTGCGCAGCGTGGATTTGGATGTCTGCAGGTTTCATCTTGGGCGAGGGCGGCTTCTTTGTCCTTCTGGCTCTCGTGGTGGTTCTGACGCCCGTGTGCGTGGCGATACACCTTCTGCGCCGCACGCTCAACAGCAAGCATGTGCTCCTGGAAGGCCTTTCCACTTTCGATCTGCAGCACGCTCACTGTCGACTAGAGCACGACCGTCTCTTCGTGCGCCTGGGTTCTTGTTCAGGTAGTAGAGGTCGTCCGTCAAGCAGATAAGAGTTCATCAAGACCCTTTGAATTCTAAACCCTACTTGAACCCTAAACTTCCCAAACCCTAATCCCTGTGAGCCCTAAATCCTACCGCCAAAATGTCTTGGTTCCATCGACAAAAACCAGGCACAGGGCGATCGACGACTGGTACGGTAGTGCTGATGCATTCACCGAGCACGTGCGAGGGCCCCTGAAAGAGGAGTTGCTAAAGTCTTCTTCAAACTTTATGGTTCCAATCTACTACTATGCTCTTATCATGATGCCGCTTCTTGGGCTGCTTTGGGAGGATTTTACATGGTTTGAAGGTTTGGATATGGGCTCTGAAGATGTTTTAGGGACGAAGCCTTCATCATCGTGACAGTTTTTCCCTCGCTTCTCAACTCGACAGTGGCTCGAGGTTTGTGGGCGAGAGCCTGGATGAGGTGCTAGCGTTTTACATGGGAGGTGCTTCTTGGAGGAACATCCTTGCCCATCTACTGGCTCACACCGTCGGACTCTGCGTGTGGTACACCATGGCGCTAGAGCTCTGCATCTTCATGAGCTACCGCTGGGCGGCACCTTGCAAGCAAGTTGCCTGGAACATCGGGCAAACCTTCGCCATCTTCTTACTGCCAGCTCTTGTGATTGGCTTTGGTTCAACTGCTTGCCGTGCTGCATTCCGCAGAGGCTTCGCTCAAAGCGTAGTCTTTTCCCTATTTGCGGTGTTTGTATCCACCTTCGTTGTGCGTCGTCTTCGCCGTCAGTTGCAGCTATGCAATTGCTGTTAACCGCGGCTGGTCACGATGGACTTGTTATCTGTGAAAAGAGGCTACTTTCTAATCGGCTCGATGATTCAATGTCACATCGTGGTCATTGCTCTTGTATAGTGTATTCTACTATGTGTTGTTGTGTGTACATATAACACATGTGTCCTAAATAAATCCAAACCGTCCAACAGCTAGTACATGCCATAATGTCCACAACGGAAGGAGACGAAACCACACCTCCAAACCACCAAGGACGGGTAGTTCTCTAAATTAGGGTCGCTTTTGGGGTCCTTTTTGTAAGGGTGCCGTACTATCTTGGGGGGGGGGACCCTAATTTACAGAGCTGCCCATATGATTTCTTATGGCGAGCATCTCCAAAAGTCTTCTCATAGGTCCACTCCCTAAGCCCTAAGCCCTAAACCCTGAGCCGAATTAAGCCTTCTGCAAGACTTCAACCGGAAGCCTCCTTCGGGCTTAGGGTTTGTCCGGGCTCAAAACAAAGATTTAGGGTACAGTAGAACCTTAAGCCGCTCTTTAGCCTCAATCTCTATACCGTCAGCCACGTCCTCCCTATTTCCGAAGCCTCGGACCTTAATCCCTTTTTGGCGCGTTGCTTACTTAAGGGTTTTTGGAATCTGCGGCATTATCTTTCATATGAGTACTCGCCAAAGTGTTCTCTAGTTGTGAAGGCTCCTATGCTACACCCAGCCCTTCAACCCTAAGTCCGAGACGCTAAGCTTCATTAACAACCCGGATGATCCACAGACCGTAAAAGCTTTAAGCAGCCTTAGAAGCCCCAAGCCCGAAACCCTAAACCTTGAATCCCAAACCCTAAGCCCAAAACCCAAAATCCCAAACCCTAAACCCTAAATCCCAGGCCCTAAACCTTAAGCCCCCAGGCAAGTCCGAGAGTGAGTGCTGAAACCTAGAACCCCTAAACCCTAAACCCTAAACCCTAAACCACAAGAGCCCTAAACCTAAACCCCTAAACCCTAAACCCTAAAACCCAAACTCCACAGGCCCATGGTGCGTGGCTTAGACTGTGAGATGGTCGGGGTGGGCCCAGCCGGGAAGCCAGAGGCCTAGCCCAAGACAGGGTTTAGGGTTTAGGGTTTAGGGGATATCTTTTTCCGGTAGAGGCATTTTTTTCGGGCTTTTTGAGGATCTTGAATAAAGGTTTCATGGAGGGTTTTCTTGTTTCCTTGTCAAACTTAAAGTGTTGAGGTGTTGTTTGGGTTACTTTTGGGGGCTATTTATAAGCTTCCCAGATAAACCCTAAACCCTAAACCCCTAAACCATACCAACCCTCAAAGAAGGCTGTGTAGGGTGTGTTTCGTGACGTGCCTGGTCGTTGAAGACTGGAGGATTGAGTTCAATCATACTTTTTCGGAGGGCCCTATTATGATTTTTCTTAAGGTTTCGACATCCGTATGGCACAATACCACAAAACCTTATCATGAGACATCAGCATGGCACACTACCACAAAGCCTTATGATGATTATAGAGGCCCTTGCACTCGGGTATGTTTGGCGGGTCTGGCGGTTTAGGGTGCGGGGAGCTCTCAGCTGCAGCTAGAGGGTTCTGAGGGATCGGGGGTCGAGCGATTTCGCGATCGGAGACACTGAAAGTTGGGAATTTCTGAAAACGAAGGATACCTTTTTGGGGGATCCTTATAATAAGGATCCTACTATTTAGGGTACTATATCAAGGTCTCCTATTTTCGGAAACCACCATTTGTGTTTTTACGGTTGGGAGGGAAGGGATGGCTCTCCCACTGTTTCTTCTATAGGCTGACGCAGTTTGGGATGAATTTCCGGCTGCAGGGGTTTTGCTCTTAGAGGCCTTGTGCTTCAGTTTTAGGTTGCATGGAAGTTGCGACACAGCCACAGCGCATGCCACTTAGTATCGACTTGTGTAATAACGAGGACTTTTTCTGGATCATCGCCAAATCCTGTCACCAAAATCACAACGATACTTGGGCCAGTTGGCTACTGCAGTGCATGACAAAGCTTTGGTCCTGGTTGCTGCCCCCACCGGTCCCACCACCATGATCCCGAACACTGACCATCACCATCAGCAGCAGCATCGCATCATCACTTCCACCAAGGTTCATCCCGCGCCCAAGAACAGTACCATCATCTTCCCCGGACTCATCAATCATCATCTACATCCTTGTCAACATCTGGTCATGTGTTCTTATCATCGTCATCACCACCAGAATCATGACCATCTTCTTCTGTGTCATTTTCATCTCTATCATCGTCACCGGCACTGGGTCAGCCGGTATGCTGTTCCTCTCCTGCATGGTTCCTGCGCTGCGTGCCGTGTTCATGTCGCGGTGTCTTGGTTTGATCGGCGTCCATGCGTTTCTGTCGGTGTCTTTGCGGTGTCCTGTGTCGATTGCCCGTTCTCTGTCGTTTTGGACAAGAGCCGGCGCCGCTCCGTTCCTCAGGCTAGTCAAAGCAATGCAGCGCTTTGCGCGTAGTAGGATTCGCAGGCCAGACAAAGGATCGAGTCAGCTCTTCAGCCTTTGGCACGCGGTAGTGTTCGCAGAGTTCTACCATAACGACCACAGACTTGCCACACTAGCACAATCCAGTGTGTCCGGCAAGAATATCATCACGAACAACTACGAGGCAAAACCGCGCAGCCTTTAGCCTAATGGCCTTATAGAGTCCCTTTGCAATTCCGGTACACTATGTATGGCGGCCATCTTGGACCCGCAGCCCCAGAACTTTGTTGCAATTATCAAGGCCCTCCCGTACACCCAGGCGGTCTGTGCTCATTCGGATCTCGGTGGTCGGCTGGCAGGGTCGGGCTTCTCGGTGGCAGAGAAGACTGGGAATCTCTTGAACTTAGGGTTTGGGGTTTAATTAAATACAAGAAACAGGTCCCAGAATTTAGGGTCTAGAATGCTGGTAGAGCCCTGCTTCAAAAAAGAACGCTGGTGCCCTTGTTGCTGCTAGTGCCGTCCCGTTAGTGTGTGAGCGCCGAAACTGCAAACCCTAACCCCCCAGATCCTAGACCCGAAACCCCAAACCCTAAACCCCTAAACCCTAAGCGTTCGACTCTTGTTTTGCCAGCCCATCTCGTGTCAGCAGCTATGTCCAAGTTTCAGAAAGTCTTCGAAGCACTGCTTGGAGGTACATGGGTAGTTATAAGCTTATAGGGGCTGAGGCTTAGGCTTTAGGGTCCAGGGGTCATGGTTCATGCACGTATAACTGGGGTTATAAGTAGGTAAGGTAACTATAATTATAGCCGATTTCGGGGACTTATAACCCCGCTTGTAACAACCCATCAACCTCCAAATAACTGCCCCAAACCCCTGCTCTGCCAGCCGCTTTGGCGGTGGGAAGGGGAATCCTTCTAGGTTATATAGGTTTAGGGTTTGGGAGCATTGAAGTATTAGTACGCCATAGGATCTGGAAAGGTTCCGTTCGTACGTTTTCCTTCATTTATGTGCTTCGAAATGACGGTCTCGCTCCAGGTGGTAAACGCTATCAAGGCCCTGAACTGTTTCGGTTGAAAGTTTAAGGTTTGGGTTCAGAAGGTTCTGTTCGACTGCCTCACAGAGCCAGAAGAGCAGGCAGGACCGACCTGGCTGGTTTCAACATGGGAGCCCCAAACATACATTGAAATGCAGGGAAACGATATTTTCTTATGCAGGCGTAGTCAGACTGTGATTATCTTTAAATCTAGCTGTTTCCGGGCCTGGCGTAGCATGTGAACCCCCCTTGGCCTTGGCACGCAAGTTGGCACATGTTTCAGAAGAAGCTTCCATGCAGCCAAACCTTTGCTCAATAGCTTTGGCTGTACCTCGAGGACTCCTTGAGGTACAGTGAAAGATTTCAGCACGCTGGACGTTGCACAATGCAGAGTTTTGGGATCTCGAGTTTCCTACAGAATGTCCAGGAAAGGTCTTACAGGGACTTAAGGATGTATACGGTTTAGGGGTTTAGTGTTTGCCCCGCTCAAAAAAGAGGTAGGGTCTACGAACTTAAGTTAACCTATGCTAGCCATGTCAGCCTAGCAAAGTAGGAGCTGGCAAGATCACATCACTTCGAACTGCTGGCAAGTGAGCCAAAGGCCTTGCACACCAGCCGTAAAAAGCCTGCCTTAATCCAAGTACCCTAAACCCTAACCCCCTAAGCCCCAAACCCTAAACACAGAAACCCAGAAATGCACACCAACCCAAAAACAAGCAGAAACCAAGACACCCCTAGCTCGTCTCAGTGTCTGAGAATAGCTGTTTTTCTGTCTGCCGACCTCGAGAAGCCCGAAGCCCAAAGCCCCCAAAGCCTTCTAAACCCTAAACCCTAGGGTTTGGGGTTTAGGGTTTAGGGTCTAGGGTTTGACCCTGTAAGGCCTCATAGGGTTTAGGGTTGAGGGTTTTTCGGGGGATCGGAAGACGTAGTAATACGGTTGATGATGTAAATCCTGCATCACCCATAATCAGGAACATGCCATAATTCCCATCGTTTAGGCCCCCTAAGTCCTGAAGGTAATGCAGGACTTATATCATCAACAGCAGTATCCATTTCTAGTCCCCTTAAAGGCATACCACAATCCACCCCCAAGGCCGGGTTCGAACTGCTGAGGCCCCTATATGGGTAGTTCTCCAAAATAGGGTCCCTTTTAGGGTCCATTTTAGAAGGGTGCCGTACTATATTGGGGACCTAGAAAGGGACCCGAATTTAGACAACTACCTATATTCAGTCTTGACTTTGCTCCCAATCTCGGCATCTTCGCGTTCACGTCTTTGGGGCCTGGTGTCCAGTTAGGTTGGCGTTCAGGGTTTAGGGTTTATGGGGTTTTGGGTTTGGGGTTTTGGATCCGACATTCAGGACACTTGCGACCAACATCTAGACATCCACGGACGGCGAAGCATTGAAAGCATTTGAAATGTTATGCACACCCCGAAAAGCTTCTCTATGTTTCGGCACACCCAGAGAGCCCAACATAGCTCAATTAAGGAATATACCTTAAACAGGTAGTGGGCTCTCTGGGCAGTTCCCTAAACCCAAAACCCCTTTGACACAGTTGCAAAGAATCACCCCAGAGCCGCGGAAGCGACCTGTGTCAGAAAGCAGGTGACCGACTGGCGTACCAAGCATCCAAGCCTATCCTTTGAAGGATCTATGAGGGTTCCGTTAAGGGGTCTATTGGGGGTTCCTTCAAGGATCTACAAAGGGTCCCTTATTAGGTCTATAAGGGCTTGTACAGTGAACCCCGGAAACTTGGAAACCGGAATCAGGACAAATAATGCTGGGATTCCCTTTACATTACTCTTACGGATTGAGGCTTTGGCCTTTCCAACTTTTGGGCTTCTACCATATCTTCGATGTACGGCAAGCGGGTTTTTTAGCATAGGCATCGTAGGCCCTGGCGAGGATCTTGGCCAACCCCCACAATCCCACCAGCTGCTTGCAAAGGCCGTAAATCTTAAACCCCTCAAGCCCGTGTGAATCCAGTATGGACCTTGTGCCTTTAGGGGTTAGGGGTTTAGGGCTTAGGCGTTTAGGGGTTTAGGGTTTAGGGACAAACAATTAGTTTGGAACCGATGCAAGCCCAGCATAAAGCTGCAAGCGCCAGAAGGCGGATAGTGGGGCCAAGATTTAGGGTTTAGGGTTTAGGGTTTAGGGTTTAGGGTAGCGTCAGACTTGGTCTCGTTGAAAGTAGCTTTCGAGGAAAATTTGGCACCCGATGGGCTCCGGGACGGAGACATATTGTATCGGACGATGGAATTCTCAGGATCGGTGCAGATCCTACCCTAAACCCTAAACCCCAAAGATTTCCGAAAGAGCAGCCCGAGCTTCCTTAGACTTCTCTCGTGGACATTTCCGTCACGGTCGTCTTGTTATCTTCGGCTTCTTTAGGGTTTAGAGTTTAGGGTACCTGTTCCTGCTTTTTTCCACTGCTAGTGGGAAAGGCCAGGGCCTAAGAAGACAGTTCTGGTGAATTTGTGGCAGCTGTGGCAGCGGAACTTTCTGAAAACGGTGGTTCCGATGCTAATCCAAAGCCCTAGACGAATCGAATATACTTTACCTCAGCTCCCTAGTGTGACTATTGAGGCCCCGGTATTCAATGTAGTCAACCCAGCGAGCTCCCCTCGCTTCGTTGTAGTCCCACCGAGTTTGCAGACCTTGCCTGTCCGAGTGCGAGTGTCAGAGTCAAAAACCCTGAAGGTGAAGATTTGGGACCCCTAAACCCTATACCCTCGCCTGGCATGTCCGAGTTGCGAGAGCGTCAACCCTAAACCCCTAAACCCTAAACCCCGAAATGGCGACAATGTCCTACAACCCTCAGTTCCACGCATGGCAAAGGTACACTGGCATCGATTCTGTGACCTTCGAAGCCATCCGGAGCGGTGCAGACCCGCCCTTCAGCTGAAGAGGGACTTTCAGAAGAGAAGGGACCCCATCCTGGGAGGTTCAATCGTAGTTATAAGGGATCCTTAAAGGGTCCTATAAGGGATCTATATAATAGGGTATAAGGGGCCTTACTTGGAGGTTTATGGGTAGTTATAAATGGGGTTATAAGTAGGGTAGCTATAGTTATAGCCCATATGAGGGGACTTCTAACCCTACTTACTTATAACTACCCATGAACCTCCAAGTAGTAGGCTAGATCCGCCCTTCTCTCCATACAGGTTTGAGGGTTCGGGGTTTTGGGCGTTCGGGGTTTGGGGGTTTAGGGTTTGGGAACCAGAGATGAGAGCCAGGGTTTGGGAAAAGCTCTACAGTCTAAACAGGGTTTGGGCCCAGAGGTTTGGCGTTCCGGGTTCGGGTTTCCCTAAACCTTAAAGCCTAAGCCCTAAACCCTAAACCCTAAACGGTTCTCTGGTTTGGGTTTTCCGGTTTGAGTTTCGGTTTTTTTGGGGCTTAGGGTTCAGGATTTGAGGCCTCAGGGTTTGAGGGCTTGGGGTTTAGGATTTAGGGTCCAAAGGGTTGAGGCTTTTGGGTTTGAGGATCAGGGTTTAGGGTTTAGAGTTTAGGGTTTAGGGTTGGGTATTGAGAGTCCACAGCACAGTCGGCGCCTCGGTTTCTGGCATATGCATTGTCCAGGGTAAAGGGCCGGGTATTGGCTTCCTCACAGGACGGAACACAGGCACCCCTAAACCTGGGGGACCCCAGAACGTTGACCCGATGCCGCTCAGGGCCCCGAGGTCATATAGAGGTAGGGACAATATTCATAACTAATGTTCTAAGTTCTCCAGGAGAAGTACCCTTTTGCCCTTTCTACTTTAAGGTTCCCTTGGAAAAGCGTACCAGTATTAGCTAGGGGACACGGGCAAGTCTTCGTACATTTCCGTCATTCTTAAATTGAAGGCTGGAACGTGAGAGTCCTCATGCCCGTAAAGGTATGGCATAGGGAAGCCCAGCACTAATCATCCTAATCCATGTTCCAACTTTCTGGGATTCACGATCGATGTTCCATGTTACGCCAAAGCCCTATTTTTCCGGTTGGTCGTCCGCCTGGCGGGGCTAAGAGAGGCTTTGGGGTTGGGGGACCCAGAAGTCTAGTGGTTTGGGGGTTTAATTTAGGGCATTTGGGGTTTAGGGTAGTTTAGTGGTTTAATACTTAGGGTTTCGGGCTTGAGGTAGTTTAGGGTGTTCTGAATCTGAAACTGGTGCCCGTAAGATGAAGCACGGCCCAGGCAGAGGAACGGGCCTGCGTTTGCCCTTTTTGCTAAAGACGCGTTTGTAAAGCCTAAACGGGGCTAGGGTTTAGGGTTTAGGGTTTAGGTTACCCTAAACCCTAAACCCGAAACCCCGAACGCCACTGTTCTTCAAGTGTGTACCCTGCATTGCGGGCTTCGTCCTAGCTAGGTGGGAGGCAAAAGCAAATCCCGAAGCCTGACTGCTGCTCCCGGTCCTAGGCTCTTTGGGTGTCTTGCTTGGCAGTACCCAAAACCCTAGACCCTAAACCCTAAACCCATCTGGCTGTTCTCTACGCAAGAACAGCATCTGGCTGGAAGACGGGTGATGCAGCTGGTGGAAGTCTTTTGAGTGCCGATCTTGAGGATTTTTCGGACTTCACATCTGGATGCTGCACACTACCCTTGCAGCCGTGGAATGTGCACAGCTTTTACTTTGGAGGGGGAGGTTTCTGCTACGAATGACGAAAGATGCAAACACAATGGAGATCACGTGAGCGGATTGAAAAGCTTTGAGTGAGAGGACTGAGAAGCCTTTACAGATGGCTCAGAAGGAGCATTTTGCTCGAGCTGTCGTGCGTTGGAAGTGTGCTTGTGCGTTGTTTGTTTGCCATCAACGTGCACTTACTTGCTTTCGGCATCGGATGATTGGGTTAGTTTGTCATCTGACTGAACTGTGGTGACCGATGAAATTTTGGTTGCTTAATCACTGCATCCACTGTACAACCCAACAAACCTCGCCGTGAGCATAGTTCTCTGCAATGCGAGAGGGAAAAAAACCCTAAACCCTAAACCCTGCCATGCGAGAGGGAAACCCCCTGCCATGCGAGGGAGGGAAACCCTAAACCCTAAACCGGGTGTCTTGCTTGGCAGTACCCTAAACCCTAAACCGGGTGTCTTGCGTGGCAGTGCCCTAAACCCTAAACCGGGTGTCTTGCTTGGCAGTCCCAGTGTGTGGGTCGATACCAGGAGCCCGGAACCTGTTGCCATGAGTCCACCGACCTCGGGCTTGGCCTTGAACCCCAAGGCCGGAACCCTAAACTCAAAACAAGCCGGAACCCTAAAGGGTTTAGGGTTTAGGGTTTAGGGTTGGCTACGGCTCAAGTAGCCATTTTGGCTCAAGGCCATTGGCTCGAGATTTCGGGATTTGCTCCTAGACCGCCTCACTGGTTTGCCATGGCAGAGTCGTTGGCAAAGTTGATGTTCTGTGTTGCATATGCACGCCGTTCGTGCTATAAGGCCGGCTTCGGTCATATTGCTTCAAAGCTGACGCCAGTCCTTCTAGAGCTGAAAGCCGAGAGGGATCTATTGTCTGCTGAGCCCGCCGAAAGGATGGAAGTTGGCAGTCAGACCGACCCATGTGTGAACAGCAGTTGTGTGAACACTGCTGCAAAGTCAGGGAATGAAGAAGAGTGTCAAGGAGGAACGGGGATCGCGTGCCAAACTGACGGAGAAGTGATCAGCAGACGTCAGTGTCAAGTTATTGTGCAGACCGCTGCAGACCCTAGAAACCAAATTCTTGACTGCCATGGAACGAACCACACCTCAGTTGGAGGAACAAGCTGGTGTCATTCAGACCTTGCAGGAGCAACTTCAAAGGCAAACTCAAGGCTCAGCCGCTATGGCCACGTGCTCAGCAACGGACAAGGGTACTGACCGACAGGACTATGGTGATGAGCTGTCCAGACCATCCTCCGATGGCTCCTTTGATCTGCAGGCACTGAAAGATGACCACAGAGCAAGACGCTTGGCACTGAAGCAGCAACGCCGAGAGGACCGCCAACAACGACTTCAGGAGTCTAAGGCAAGTCGAGCGTTCGAGGATGCCGACACGTAGTGAGGGTTTTTTCCTTGTGAAGCCTGCTGACTTTGCCCGGCTGAAGAAGTGTTTGCAATCTGGGGTAGCAGTGTGGCACGAGTCCACAGCACAGTCAGCGCCTCGGTTCCTGGCATATGCGTAGTCCAGGTGTAAAAGGGTTTAGGGTTTAGGGTTTGGGGTTTGGGGTTTAGGGTTTAGGGTTTGGGGTTCAGGTTTTATGGCTCTAGGCCCTACAACCCTAAACCCTGTGTGCGAATGCAAGCCCGCAAGCACTGCAATCTCAGGATCCCCATCGAGCAGATGGACCTGCTTTTCGGCCTTTTGAGTCGCTGTAGCGTAGGATAGTGGGTTCAGGGCTTGGGGCTTCTATCAGATTCTATCATCTATGTTGTCGTGAGGGTGATGGAGGGGCCCACTTAAGAGGCGGAGCACGAGAGACATCACTGGTATTAGGATTCAGTGCTGTGGTTGCTAATTAGTTATTTCCGTATGCCTTTTGGTTAGCGTTTACTGCGGTGCTTTGTGAGTACCGGTTCGTATTTTTATCGTGGCAACTGGTGCTATGTATTTGGTCACTATATGGGCTTCTTCTGAATGGCGTTTCTCTTGACAGGGGTGGGTACTTAAATCGGTCCCCGGCAGCAGCACAACGACGGCGCTCGTGCTTCATTTAGGGTGTAGCTGTAGGCTGTAGGGCTGAACGCTTGGAACTTGTGCTCTCGCCGGATAGAGAAGGGGTCGGGCATTTAGGACTTCCCCCGTGAACAAGGATTGAAGCGTAATATAGGCGCCTGAATAATTACCAATACTATTTCGGGGGTTCCTTAATCATTATAATTATAGTACAATGGGCCCCCAAACCCTATTCTGATTATTAAGGCCCCCAAACCCTAAACCCTTATAGTAGCCCTTATACAACCCGTTAAAGGAACCCCCCCAAAACCGTATTCTAATTCTTAAGGCCCCTATATAGCTTGATCGGATGATTCTGGTCTCCTTCTTGCCGAGGGCCGCCTAGGTGTAGTCATCTGCGCAGAAGCACCCATGCCCAGCTGCAGAGAATCTGCCCTAAACCCTAAACCGTAGAACCCCTCCTCAATTTTGAGACTCGCGGAACCTACGGCACTGTGGGACTGTGAAAAGCACAATTTCCCAGATTTTGGAGGCCCAAACTGGTTCTGCCCACAGCTGTGGCCGTGGCGAAGGCAGGCTGCATCAAGGACATGAACCAACTAATTTCCTACTTCAGGGTTTCTGAACTCTCTGTTTAGACAGGCCGGTATAACCCAAAGCTCGGAATGCTTCTGTGTAGGTGCTTGCTTGGACCCTTAAACCCTATACCCTGAACTCTAAATCCTAACCTTTAAACCCTAAACTCTCTTTGGAATTTGTTGCGGTGGACTTCGGGACATAAGAGGCACTAGATTGGAGCTGACAAGGCCACATGTGCGTTCCCTGCGAACTATGGACCATCCTCGCCTGCATTGCCCGAGTGGCGAGAGTCTAAGCCCTCAACCCTTTGCCTTAAGCCTTAACCCGTTTTGGCTCCTCATAAAGCGCTACTGCCAGGTCAACGCCTTGCTGGACCACGTTGTGATCATCGGCCACGACTCTTGTCGTTTTTCTGGGGTGGGGTTGTAGGTTTCCGGGTTTGGGTCTAAACAGGCCTGGATGCAAAACAGGGTTTGGAGTTTCGGGGTGGGATTGTGGGTTTAGGGTTTAGGGTGGAGAATTTGTCCAAGTTGAACGATTGCCGAAGGCTTCGCGGCGAAGCAAGCTGAGTCTTGTTAGGGACGAAAGAAGCAAGTAAACACAACGTCTTTGAAGCCTAGCGCCGCGCATACAGAAATTGCCTTCCATACTTGGAGGTTCATGGGTAGTTATAAGTAGGGTTATAAGTCCCCTAATATGGCTTATAACTATAGTTACCCTACTTATAACCCCATTTATAACTACCCATGAACCTCCAAGTAGTTTGTGGCTTCGGTGGTTCCGGGGTCTCCGTTTAGAACCCTCATTGCCGTTTAGAAGTCACGAAGCAAGTCCATGAGGGTTTTTGAATGAACCTAAACTCTAAACCCCCGCTTCTCGCTTCGGGCTTACTTGGGGTTTCTGACATCATTAGCTCTCATTTTGGATGTTGGCTCTCTTTCCCTAAGGGTTTAGGGATTAGGGTTTAGGGTTACTTAATCTTTCATTCCTAACCCTAAACCCTAATCCCTAAACACTCTCCCAGAGTGTTTAGGGTTTAGGGTTCAGGGTTACTTAATCTCTCAATTCCCGCGTTTGTGTTTTCCACCTCCCGACCTTCGGCCAAGATGCTGCGCCCCCCGCAAGTGTGCCAGGTGTGTTGTCAGGATGTGGGTGGTGGTCAAAATTATGGGCCCTTTTTGGGTCCTTATTATAATACGGCACCTATTATTTAGGGTACACCAGAAGGGACCCTCATTTTGATAACTACCCATGTGTTTGGCGCGGTTGGGGGCTTGGGCTGTAGGCTTCGGGCTTACAGTTCGGGGGTTTCGGACTTCGGGCGTCGGCTTAACGGTTGCTTGTGTTGCTTGGCGTTTGAGGCTCGAGGCTTGGTGTGTCCTCCTAAACCCTGAAAACCCCCGACGTAAACCCTGAAGATTATAGGGGCCTTAATAATTACCTATACTAAATTGGGGGTTTCCTTGCTATTCTAATCATTAAGACCCCGACTTTAGCCCCAAACGTCAGGACTTGCGACGCGACTTCCATTTGTTGGGGCGCAACCAATGCCGCATCTTGATTCGCTAGCTCGTGAACCCTGTTTGGAGGTTGAAGGGTGGTTATAAGTGGGGTTATAAGTCCCCTAAACCCTAAACCCTAAACCTAAACTGTAAAATTATAGTTTTCCTACTTATAACCTACTTAGAACCACCCATGAACCTCCAAGTAAACCTAGCCCTAGCCTCAACCTTCCCAAAAATTCGCGGTTGCGAGAATCAAGCTGCCCCTAAGCCGAAACACTCCTAAACCTAAGGGGGGTTTGGGGTTTGGGGTAAGGGGGTTGAATGGTGTAGGGCATGTTACAGTTGTGCAGGCGCTGGCCGGCACCTCAGTCCGTGCTGAAAACGGGCATCCTACAGACACTCGACATGTTAGTCTAAAGGAACACTAGAAACTGACTGCTCAGGGAACCCCTCAACCCAAAACTCGCACAGATCCCTTAAAGCAGCCCTCATAGTCCTGGAGTTATTAAGCAGCCAAGGCAGTCTTCTTCGTGACACTGCCTTCTATCCCCTCCTCGCTCTTGGGCTTAGTGCCAAGCGCTTCTCTGGAGGAGGGGATTAGGTGAGGGGTTGGGGATTTAGGGGTTTGGGGGATTCAGGTTTAGATTTCGTGGTTAGGGCCTAGGGTGGGGTTGTAGGAGTTTGGGGTTCAAGCGTCCTCGACCCCTCTGAACCTTGTAAGAGCCTACAGCGACCCGATCCTTTCCATGATCTTGAGCCCTAAGCCCTAAACCTTAAGCCCTAAGCCACCCCTAAACCCTAAACCCTGAACCCCAAATAATGATACCCTGAACCCTAAACCCTAAACTCCCGACAAGCCTTCTAAGTATACTGCAATAACTGTCCTAGGCTTCGCAACCTGCCGTGGCAACGTAAATCCGAAACCTTAACCTTCAACCCCCAAGCCCGAAACCGTGCCTTGAGTCCTACATCGTAAGCCCCACCACAACCTTCTTTTGTTCCTAATCCTTTTATTTTCTTTATAAAGTCCTTAACAAGGTAGCCTTTTTTTGGGGGTTAAAGTGAACCCTAAACCCTAAACCGTGGCGCAAACGCTCAGAACCCTAAACCCTAAACCCTAAACTCAGAACCGCATCTTGCGCCCGAGAGGGCTTCCCTCCCTTCGTGCGCTTGCTGCCGAGTGGCTGGAGGCGGAGTGAGTACCTATATCGGGGTTTAGGGGTTTAGGGTTTAGCGGATACTTGCCCAAACCATGATAGTAATTCTTAGTATAGAAACCCTAAATGTCTACCATATAGGTACTATAGGCGTGTACTATCATGTCCCCCTGCAAACCCTGTTCCAACCCATTTTTCGGCCGCTACCTCATACTATCCCTTATCGATCCTTTTAAAGGAACCCGTGCCAGGAACACTCCTCTAGTTATTAAGGCTCCTATGCCTCTATTGCAAGTTCAGGCGAAGACTGGAGGTGAGTGTTTGCCGGTTGGGGTTTAGGGTTTAGGGTTTACTTGCAGGTTCCTGGGTAGTTGTAAGTGGGGTTCTATGTAGGGTGACTATAATCATGGCCCGTATTAGGGGACTGAGAACCCCACGTATAACTACTGTGGCTGCCCATGAACCTCCAAGTAGGGTTTATCTATTTGGGATATTTCGAGGGTGCCAAGATTGCAGGGTTTCTTTTTGGAGTGGAAGTTTGATCTGGGAGAAGCCCGCAAGGAAAATGCAGCAGCATCCCACCCTTAACCACACTCTTGTGGAGGAGTCGGAGGACGTCCTGACATGTAAACCTTAAGATCTGTACCCTATAACTCCATGAGGCAAAATACCCTTACCCTATGAAAAAATACTCTGTAACTTCATGTGCAACTTTACCTGAGGATTCAGCTCTAAACCCTATGACCGTAGTCGTATACCATCTTATACTTATACCTCAGACTCAAACCCCCTATCTAACCCTCTCATGTTAAGCGAATTAGCATTCAAGGTTTCACTGACTCCCTGAGACTTGCGAAGCCCATGGGGCGGCCGAGTAATTTTTTTTCCCAGACATTAGGGGTACTTTACTCCGTGCGACCTTATATTTACATTTATGTTTACATACATATATATTCTACGGACCTTATTTAGGGTTCCATCTTGTGTGTGCCCGATTTTCTGAAACTCTCAAAGAACAGGAAGAAGCACTAGCATCCAAGTTTGCAGGTTTTGTGGCTTTTTCTGTCTGGGGTTCAGGGGGAGTTCAACCGAAGGTTCAGCTAGGTAGACTTCCGGCTTGTGCTTATTTTGTATGTTGTAAATCATGCTACACATGACATCGCCAATGAGGAATGCTAAGGAGCAATATTATATGGCTGTTTCGAGAGGCTTCTACACGACGTCTGTATGGGTCCCTGGGGGTGCTTGAGTTTAAAGTTTCAGTCTTCAAGGTCGAAAGTTCGGCTTGTCTTCAGTCGGTGCTCCATCTGACCGGCCCTTGGGAAGCAACATACTTAATTCATATCCCGAGCGCAATCCTACATCCTGTGGAAACCTGCAGATTTCGAGCACTTGCAGCCATCGGCGGGCAGAAATGCTCAGCACCCGAAACGCGAACCATAAGCCTTGATCCATAACATGAATAATCGGCCCTTTACAGATTGGGGCTTTTATCAGCCAAGGACCCCGGTTTGGTTTAATTCGGAGTTCAGGGTTCCGAGACCCTGAACCCTAAACCTTAACCAATGCTAAACCCTAAACGCTAAACCCTAAAGCCCTAAGCCCCAAAAGGCAAAAAGCCTCGCGAGGATGAGAAACTCCACAAGGGGGCGCACTCCTCTGTGGAAGATGCCAGGCAGGGTGGGCACCAAAGCTAAGTGCTTTAGGGTTTAGGGTTTAGGGTTCTCCCTTTGGGTTTCGAGTTGCGGGTCGAATGCTTCGAATAAGTCGAGGTCCCTATTCCATATCTACTGTAGGTAGGGGCCTTAATAGTTACCTATACTATTTTCGGGGGTTCCTCATTGTGTTATACTATAAAAGGAAGCCAAAACCCTATTCTACTTATTAAGGGCTCTACACTACCTTCGCTCTTATGAGTGCTGAACTAGCAGCATTATGGACCGAGAGCACCTTGGTCAAGCAGTGATAAGTGCCGTGCCGTAGTCATGAATGGTGGAGCCAGTGCAGAGGGCAAGAACAGTGGGTGCGACGTTAGCAACGAGCGCAGCAACAGTAGCAATTTTGAGGCCACGGTGGCAGCAATAGGAGTAGGAGTTGTAGAACTCCCTGCCAGCAGTCTGATGAGAATACTAATAGTGGATGTAGCAGGTGTAACAGTAGTGCTAATGGAACTCATCCCTAAACCCCATACCCTAAACCCTAAACCCTATCACGGACGGTTCGGTCAGGGCAGCCGTGCTCCTGTACCGCCTTGTCAAGCAAGAGTGGGACTGCCAGCGTCAAAACTTCAGGATACCCTTACCTGGAGTCTCCATTGTAGTTCCTTTTTGGGGGTACCTTATAAAATCCTGAATATATAATTGGTTAAACCAAAAAAAGGAACTACAATGGAGACTATAGGTAGTTACCAATACTATTTCGGGGGCTGAATTTACTTGGCTGCTCTCTTAGCCCTGCCTCGCGACTCGCTCAGCCGTGCGGGAGGCAAAAATTTCGGGGGCTCCTTATTCGAATTATAGTACAATCTACCCCAAAACCCTGTTCGAATTATTAAGGCACCCATATTATGGAGTTTCCAGCTGCAGGGTTTCCTGTTATTGAAGGCTGCATTGGGTTTCCGCTTTTCGGCTTTGCTCTGCATTGCATTTGTGAGTTTACGGCTGGGGGTTGTTTATCGTGGAGAAGGCAGGGTTTGCAGCTGAATCGCGTTTTGAGGTTTGGAGCCTGCCGACAAAAAACAGGGCGCATGTCCCCTAAACCCTAAACCCTAAACCGTGTTTCAGGTGTGGTGGTTGGGCAGAGAGTTCCTATAAACCATCGGATACAAGTCGGCATGAAGACCACTGTTTAAACGGTGCCACGCCTTCCTCCGCATGATTTGTATGACACGTCGTACACATGTCATACATACCTCAACCTACCAAAACCTACTTTTTTGTAGGGTTCCCTATAAATTCCATATTAAGGTTTATAATGAGAACCTACAAAAAAGTAGGGTTTGGTAGTTTAAAGTAGAGACAGCAGTGCACCGGGTATTGCCGAAACCAAAGCCCTTAGCCCTAAACCTTCCCAAACCTTAACAGCCATGCTGCAGGACTCCTTTGCTGAGAAGAAGTTCGGAGCACCCGTATGGACTGCTTTGAACTCAACCGCGAAATTTAGAGGCCTCTAATTTTCCAGTACTTAGGAGTACCTTGCTACGCAGTTCAGGAAGTACGGACGCGACTATCTAGAGTCGGCTTCCCTATTGGGATCCTGTGTTTCTGAAGCTCCCGTGGGCCTTCTCCGGTTTCGGGGTCAGAAGTACCCTAAACCCTAATCCCTAAACCCTAAACCCTAAACCGCCCTAAACCCTAAACCCTAGTCAGACGAAGAGATGAACATACGTCATCATGGAGTCTCTCTGGTGCCTCTTGCCCCATAGCCCTGGCTTCGGGTTTAGGATTGAGGCTTTAGGGGTTGAGGGGATTTAGCGGTACATGCCCCCTGGTCACAAGTCCGAGAGAAGAGCGTTAAGGATCTAGGGGTTTGTGTAAAACTTGGGGTTTCAGGTTTAGGGCTTTTCCTACGACCAGTCCGGTCGAGATCTGACCAGGCCACTGCCGAAAAAGGGTTTTTCCTACTTGGAGGTTCATGGGCAGTTCTAAGTAGGGTTATAGGTCCCCAACGATAGTTACCCTACTTATAACCCCACTTATAACTACCCATGAACCTTTCAGTACTTTACCAGGACGGCCTTCCCCCGGCGCCCGCGCCCAACGGTCATGAGCCGCTCTGCCGCGCGGCTGCGCCTCCGCCTGGACCTCGGAGATCCGCTGCCGGATTTAATGATACTAGTAATAACAGGTTGTATATATATATATATATGTATGTATGTATGTATGTATGTATGTATGTATGTATGTATGTATGTATACGTGTATATATAACATACAAACATATCTCTATCGATATGTATATCTATATTTGCATGTATGTATGTACGTATGTATGTATGTATGTATGTATGTATGCATGTATGCATATATACACACACACACAAAGTAAGTCTTACATATTCGACCACTGGTTCTGTATGGAAAGAAGGGCATGAACGGGTCATCAGGGTTTGTATGGGGGTTGACCTCATGTCCCTAAACCCTTGACCCTAAACCTTAAACCTTAACCCGAAACCCTAAACCCTTAACCCTTAGCCCCAAACCCTAAACCTGAAACCCTAAACCCCAAACCCTAAACCTTAAACCGTAAATCTCAAACCCTAAACCTTAAACCCTAAACCCTAAACCTTAAACCCTAAACCTTAAGCCCCAAACCCTGAACCTTAAACCC